AATATACCATATAAAAATATATAATGYGTGTTGTATACACACCATGTGCCAGAAATACAATAATAACTATAGTAAGTCACTCGTGTATTATCAATTATTAAAAATGTCAACAAAAAAGTTAGATAATTTATCAGGAAAAATGTATTGTCAAAAAACAAAAGTAAGTCATTTTTTATTAGTGATGGTTCCTATTATGAACGATATACTTTTTACAAAGATATTAATATAAGAATTGTAATTTACAGGTCAAATCGCTGTTTGGAAAATATATAGATAATATATTCTTATTATTGATAAAACTTAAAAATATGATACATTTAGAGAAATCAAGTAAAAATAGTTTTATATAAAGCGGTATCAACCGTGATTTAGTTTACCAACCGTATACACACCGTATCCTCGCGTATAATATATTGATAGCCATAAAAATAATCTGTATACCAAGTCACACAAATATCACCGGAAATGAAAGAGCTGATACACTTGCTAAAGAGACTATTGAGTCACAAAACGCAACCCCATGTCAAGTTTATTCAATAACCGACATCAAACAAATAATTAAAAAAATAATTCTCAATATCTGGCAAAACGAATGGAAAACATCTAACACCAAATTAAATTAAATTAAAAATCATATTCTCCCTTGGCCAAACAACACACTCGCCAGAAAAGAAGAAGTAGTTATCAATAGGCTCAGAATAGGCCATACTAGATTAACTCACGCCTTTCTAATGAAGAAAGAAAGCCCACCCATGTGCCCGATATGCAACGATCCCATGACAGTTAAACACATCCTCACCGACTACAGAAAGTACGAATTACAACGTCAAAAATTCAATCTTACTCACCATCTTGCTGAAAACCACAACATCGATACAACCAACGTTCTCAAATTCCTAAGGGATACAGAACTTCATAAAAAAATTTAATATATATTATAAATATAATGTACCTACCATATTTAATGTAACTTATCTATTGCTTATATAAATACTATGTAATTTTTTTGTAGCCTGCCGAGGAGGCATTGTTATAAAAAAAAAATAAAAAAAATATATTGTATTTAGCACATACTATATATAATATAATTTTATAATTGTATTATAATATAATATAAAATATTATCTGCATGGCACCGCAAATATAGTTCAAGATTTGGAGTGAGATTATAAGGTTCATTCACGATATTGTATTGATTTATTATGGAGTAACCACTAACCGATGCATAATGATTATTCCTCGCCAATCTGAGTGTGGTAAGTGAGAACCAAACCATAAWCACGGGTTACTGGTTAGAGTCGCAGAGTATAATTTATACACTCCCGTGTTTTTTTTTTTGAACGAGGGGAGKGGGCGCTGATAATGTGTTTAAACAGAGTTGGTTTAACCAGGGTCACCCATAAGTTAAGCATACTGATATACAGAGGTTTTATTTTAGGTTCGGTTCATGTAATGTATAAATTTGTATTAACAGTAACTTTCATAGACTATAGAAATATTTTTCTCCTTTAAGTTCTGGCGAGGGAGTAGGTCACAGCTGGATACGCCACCGCCACCGTAATTATGTGCTCGTATATGCTCGGTGATTTTCAAATGATTATTTTTCAGCTGTTGTCGCTCGGTGCTTGGAAAAAAACGCTATGAATAATCCTCAATATTATCTAAATAACAATACTTATTATATAATATAAYACTGCACTAATTTTATTTACTGACCGACTTAGCCTAGGAAAAACAATCAACAAAACAAAAAAAAAAATGCATTCGGTGTCAATGTACCTCGCTTTGTGGACAAATCTGACACCGGGCGAGGTGGGCAATTTGACAGCGGTACATTGGATTATACGTTTGGCGTATATTTCGGTTTGAATATACATATATTTTATAATAATTTCATGGTCCAATCGGTTTAGATGTAAAATCATCCACCTGCATAAATGGACAATTTATTAATATGGTTTTTGTTGCTTTTTTTTATTCAGAATAATAAGGCTTCAACAGCTAGGTCATTAGCCTACGTTTGTAGATACAATATTATTAATGGATATACTTTAGTTATGAATTTATGATTGTATGTTATGCATCAGGGGTGGCCAAACGGTCGATCGCGGACAATTTCAAAGTCGATCATGTTAGAATTTATTTTTAGGGCAAGTGCACGAATTGTTATCGAATTGTCGATAAGTTTTATCTGTTTGTAATGCCACACTTCAACAATGCCCAGATCAACAAAATAATATGTTAATTAAACTTATCTAATTAGATTTTAGAAATTATTATTTATTATTAAATTATTTTTAGTAATTAGTAATAAGTATTAATTAATACTTATTGTATGTTTATATGCACTTTATGTAAGTATGTTTCTTAATAATTATAGTTATTTAATAATAACAAAAATTTCTATAAAAGTCGATCCTCAAAGGTGAAGTATATTTTTAGTATAGATCGTGACCAAAAAAAGTTTGGCAACCCCTGTTATAMATGATTACAGATTAAGTGATACAGTGTTATATATTTACATTATATTTGATATGCGTAGATTTATAGGTCAATATTCAAATTTTTGTATCGAAGCTAATGGATTTGAAGAAGCTATGGATCAGGTGGGTGTTATGTTCTCCAAGTGCTTCCTGGTTTTTGTTGCTGTTGTTAGTATGTGATATGTAGTAGTWAATATATGGAAAGTAACCGAAAAAACTAATTTTTTTGAAATTTGTTCAGTGTCAACCAATCGAACGTGTTTTAAATTGTTTTCTTAAAGTCTAAACCTCTTTGTGGCATCTCTGAAACGTTTGTAAAAACTGGTCGAGTAGTTTTCGGTATATAAACTACAATCATACACACACACACACACACTTTACCTTTTATCATAAACATCGAGCACCCCACCCTCCACCCAGCTCTCTTTCCGWTACGATTTGGAGTACTAACCCCATCACTTCAACACAATATCATGGAGCTGCAGTGTTCTGTTTTGGTCTATAAGTTATARTAACTGGATCAAAGTATGAAGTAGTAATACCTATAGTATGATGTATATACGTATGTGATCATTTTGGGTTTAATGCGCGATTAAAAACAATTATAATAATATACTCTAATTAAGACCAATCTGGTAAATGTTTTGTTAGTCTTRATTATAAGATAAACGTATTCCAAGACATAATAATTTAAGACAATTGTTGCAGCTAATGACCTTAAACGCCTAAAAAAGCATTTTTTTTTTTAAATAATATATTCTTCATAATCGTGATTTAATATTTTAATATGACAATAAAATGTGCCTAATCGTCCCGGAATTATCATATTCGTCGCGGATGTTTGGGCATGATAACGGCGTGTCTTACTCTCCTACTTGAATCCGGCGAKTGCGACGAAAAACAAAATAGTTTGTATTTCGCCGTATCGGACGCACCGTAATGCCGCGGAACAGCATGGTCAGAACAGAAACGTAGGACACGTCTTAATTATTGCGYAAGTGTGAGTCCGTCACACAAGCGCGCACCTCGAATAACCACAACGCAYTGCACGTCAGTTATTCAAAAAACGATTCATCAATGATTAATGAAAACAAATATATATATACTTGAATTTATTAAATTATACTTATGTGAATAACATACTTAACTAATGTTCGAAATTTTTTTTCTTGAAATATACACTATTTGTATGATACAAAGAAAAATTTATATATAATTGAAAGTTTTCTCAATTATATTAGATTATTCATATTACGTCCATTTAAGTATCCTATATATTATAATACTTCTAMATTTGTTTATTTTAAAAACTATAAGAGTATACCCTTTTAATTATAAATGTATATTATGATACGAAAAATAGTCCAGCCTAAAAGATTTGGATAATCATCTTAACTAAAATTGTAGGTGCTTTGTAAATTATTATGATAATTGAAAAAATATATGTATTTAATATTTATACAATATTAGTAATTTATAAGTTTAAAATGTATAAACACATATTGTATAGAACAATTAAGTTCGATCCAGAATCAAAACGCACATGATATATAATAATATATATTATATTATATGCCTAATGTATATATATATATAATATATATAGTATATTGTATTGGAGTTTTATGTATAGCAATCTATATATATATTTATTCGCTTCGAGTTACGTATTATTCGAGATACCCAACTCGAAATTATATAAGTTCTTGGGGAATGAACAAAAAAATTCTATAGTTGTCAAGTTGTTCGATTTATCGCGACCCGACTGTAACTAGATATTTGAACGCCAACTACGCCATGTCCCCTCGCCATTGGATATTTGTATCGTGATGTATTCAAATTGAATAACGTTAATTTAAAATTTTTTTTTAACTCTCGATTCTAGGATCAACAATGACTCAGGAGAAGCTCAAAAGCCCGACAAGTAAGTCTGAAAAAACTCACAGTTTGAGGCGCCCCACTATGCACACCCATACATGTTATAATATTATAAATTGTAATGTGATGCACACATGATTCATTGTCTACAAACCGATTGTGTGTGATTCATGCCCCGCTCACGCGCGCTATAGAGCGCTTGTTCGCAGTGTCGCTCCAAACGTTTAATACGCACAGGTATACCTATAGAAATCAGCGCGGCCGCAAAAAAAAAACAATTCCCTGCATAATAAAACCCTCAATAATTAACAACAATGCAATAATATATTATTATGTTTTCAACGATTTCGTTTTGTATTTAGACGGTAAAATATAAAATACAAATCATCATACTACATATTGACTCAATTTTAAAAAATATGTGGGGGGGATACATGATCATCACCAATTATATTCTATGATAATATCTACA